GTTGAAATATGCAAATGATATTGTGCAAACGTATTGAATTTCAAGCATGTATTTTTTTTTGTTTAAAGCATACTAATTACTCTTTTGCATAGTATTTGAGACAACAGATAAAAAGAGAATGACATTTAATATTAAGTGATGTTTTCGATAGTATCCGCTCTACGACTTTACACTAGTTTTATTATTACAATGAGTTCTCTGAGGTAGAAAATGTCTAACATGTATGCTCTTTATAGAGAACATTCGATTCGTTTAAGTTCTCTCGTTGTATTAACTCCGATCAATATGTCCTGAGACTCTTGTCCATGAAAATATTATTACAAACATAAATATATCATTGATTAGATTTAATATAGAAAAGAAAAAAAATAACGCTGTTCTTGTTTTGCCTTCATCTACTGTATTTTAAATAAAAAAACATGTGTTTTATGTGACAAGAAATGTTTCTTTTCATCTTTCAATCAAAGATTATTGATCAGTGTTCGTTAAAAATAGTTTAGTCATATTTACTGAATTTGCTGCCTTTCGAGTAATTGACATTCGTATAATTAAAAATTCTATTCAATATATAATTGCGCTAGTGGAATTTTTCTGATCCGTAGAATTTATATGCATTGATGTACAGAAATTCAGATTTTTCCTTGTACAAGTAACGTGTATGTTCGACATAAGTACACTCTTGGAATCGATTTCAATATTTCCTAATTAAAGAATAAGATTTGAATAATTTCCTGAAAATTAAAATATATACGACGTTTTCTTCATATTGTCAGTGACATTAACCGTTGAAGATCTCAAGATTTCATTTTGCATAAATTGAACAGTGACAACTAAAAATAAAAGCAATATATTTATTGTCTACTTTCAGGATTATTTACAATCTGTGCTGACTAACGATAATTACAATGAGAGAGATGCAGAGATGGGCAAGTCAGCGATTTTTTGACTCAAGTCAAGTCAAGTCATTTTTTAAAAATCTCAAGTCAAGTCAAGTCAAGTCATGACTAGTTCAAAAAATTTCAAGTCAAGTCACCGCTAATTCAAAAAAATCCTAAGTCAAGTCAAGTCAAGTCATATCTTAAAATTTTTCAAGTCAAGTCAAAATTCAAATCAATTCTATCAAGTTTTCTTTTATTCATGAAAGATCAAGATATGATACTTTCATCCTATTTCAAACGAAAAAGAGTTTCCAACAAAGTTTCACGATAAGTAAAAAAATAACTAGAAAAAAAATATCACAAATAAATCGATTTAACTCCGTAAAAAAAACAAATGTACCACAATTAATCGATTTATCATCACACAAGGAACAAATGTATCACAAACAAATAGATTTAACTTCACAATAACAAATGTACTACAAATAATCGATTTATCACCACACAAGAAACACATGTATTACTAATAAATTGACCTGATCATAATAACCATAAAAAATGTACTGAATATCAAAAATATATTCTGACTAAGTTTCACAATTACATTTCAATAACGTCAATTGTTGAAGGGTTTTTCGGCTCATCCGAGCACGATGAGCTCGGCAAAGAAAACCGCTTTGAGAAAAAACACGTTCGACAGTGGCTGTTGTAGCCGGTATGCATAAATATTTTGTAGCTAATTTAGCTAATGTGTTATATGAATTAGACGCTGTTGGTTTTAAGAGAATCATGTTGTCATTGTTACTAGCATAAAGGTGACGTGAAATTTCTTCTTTAATATAATTGTTTGAATCAATTGATTTTGTTTTTTTTGAATATTTCTGATTGTTATGAATATTTGAAAATAAGCGTTTCCTTTTGAGTGCACTTGGACTTGATGATTCAGCACCGTGAACTTGTTCTTCCTGAACCGGTTCGATGTCCACTGGAACAGAAGCTTCTTTAGTATATTCAATAATAACACCATTATCAAATATAAGTTTTTTAATTCTTGCACATATACGTTCTTTAGCTGCATCAGGAAGAAAAGATCCAGTAATCCAATTAAGTTTGAACATGCCATCGAGAAATAGAGTAAAAAGGAAAACAGGATCTTTGTACAGATCATAAAACTGGTTTTTCTTTTTAAATTCGATACCTGTTTCATTAACGTCAATTTCCAATTGTTCCAAAAGACCACCGAATCGTGATAACAAAGAAGAAATTAAAGCATTACATAACGTTGTTGTATGTTGAATGTTATTTTTTTCATTTTTTAAATCGAAATAAATAGCAAGAATACTTGGAGCAACGAGAGAAATAGATGGAGAATTATCACGCTGTGTAGTTGTTGTTACTTCAGCAAGTAATGATAATAAAGCAACCAATTCATTTAAAACAGCTAAATCACGAACATTTAAACATAGATGTGAATGTTTTAATTCGATTAGAATTTCATTTAATTCAAGAGTAGGTATAGCTAAAATACTTTCAACAGTTAAAAATTGTGAATTCTAACGAGTAATAACAGCACGAGGTATTGATATTTTCATCATCTCTAATTTTTCTGCAAATTTTGTATTTTTATGTAAAAGTTTTGCAATTGCAGACACTTTTTCTAATGATGATAAGATTGATTATGTTTCTTTTAATCCATCCTTTACAATAAGCTGAATTGTATGAGCAAAACAGGGAATTCGAAAAACTTCATTGTTTTCTAATAAGCTGCGGAATGAATCTTTAACAAGATCTTCTTGTGTTAATTCAACAGTTATAAAATCATTTGTTGTTGTTGAGCAAATATTTGGTGGATATTCATATTCATCACTAACTGTTCCCAGGCATGCACCGAACCCGGGAACGACCCGGGAATCCCGGGTTCGGTGTTCCCGGGTTCGGTCGTTCCCGGGTTCGGTCATTCTCGGGTTCGGTCATTCCCGGTACCGGGAATGACCGAACCCGGGAATGATCGAACCCGGGAACACCGAACCCGGGTAGTTCGGGCTCGGTGCATGCATAACTGTTCCATCATTTAAATTTACACCGCTATCCTCATCATTTGAATCATCATTATCATCTTCAGTAAAGTACTGTTCGAAACCTGGAATAACAAGATCTTTAAATGCATTTATGTTATTCAATCCATTATCATTAACTAATCGGATAATTTTATCTTTAATACCAAATATATTGATAATTTCTTGATATTTTTGAAGTAATAAAAAGCCTGAATGACTACCCCATAAGGGAACAAAACCTAAGACATATGATTTAAAAGAACCATCAATGATAGCATGCCCTAAAACGACCAAAAACGAAATATAAATTATTCTTGTAAAAGAGATCATACCAGTAACAGCAAAAAAAGACCTTAACCTCTTGTCGCTCCAAATGTCCACAGCCAAGGATAAAAATGCAGCTGTTGAA